CCCTCCTCCTCCTCCTCCTCCTCCTCCTCCTCCTCCTCCTCCTCCTCCTCCTCCTCCCATCCTCCTCGATCTGGTTCAGGCTGGGAGTGGAGGAAGGCCGGCCATGGTGAATGTCCACGAAGGACCAGACTCGCTGCCTGCCGTCGGTGAGGGAGGTGAGAACGTGTGAGCCATCGGAGGAGGAGCAGACGCAGTTGACGTTGGTCGACGTCTTGACAACTTCGTTGAAGTTTCTCTGTGTATCCCATGCGCACATCTCGAGGCTCCCGAAGACAAGAAGGATGCGTCCTCCCTCCCCCATCACCCCGCAGTGGTGTATCCTCCAACTCCTCAGCTCCTCTCCCGGCATCTTCGTCGCTTCCTCGCTGTCTACAGCCACCGTATCCCCAAAGATGCTCCTTACCACCGATTCCACTCGCTTCCTCCTGAACTTGAACTTGGGAGTAGCTGGTTTCTCCTCCGCCTCCTCCACCTCCGACGACCCCTTGAGCAGCTTCATGCTTCCTGACTTCACCAGCGACCGGTAGCGCATGATCTTTGCCTTCTCCTCCGCTTCTTCTGCGTTATCCTCGCTCTCTTCTTCCCCCTCCTCGATCCCCAGCAGACTTTTACTTCCTCCTTGTTTCCTCCCACTCCTCTCCTCCTCCCCATCGCTCCGCTTCCCCTCTTCGCTCTTGGCGTCCTTGGCTCCTTCTCCCACCGACCAGCAGCGGACGAAGCCGACGCCGGCGGCGAGCAGGCGAACGTCGTCGAGATAGCACCAGTGAGCATGCGAGTTCTCCGTAAGGACCTGAACCTGTAGGATGATGGGACCGCTTGCGTCCCATAGCCGGATAGTCTTGTCGGAGGAGGAAGAGGCGAATCTGTGCATGCAGAAGTTGATGCAGTTGACTCGCGCGGTGTGGCCATGAAGGGGAGGGGAGAGGGAGGAGCTGATACGATGAAGGGAACTCTCCTGCGCGATCCAAAGCGGCTGGATCTCTCCGTTTGCTGTCCCGAGGAGGATGAGACGTCCCCTGTCCAGCTGCTGGGAGAGAGAGGAGCAAGAGATTACGTTGCTCTTATCCTCCTGCCCACGGGAGAGCTCCAGCAAGACCGAAGATCTCCTCCTCTCCTTCCTCCCCTGCTGCGGGGACGATGGATGCCATAGCTGGCACACCTGGCAGCGGTAGGTCTTGAGCTCGGAGAAGGAGGAGGAGGAGGATTTCATAGGATCGCAAAGGAGGATTTCGCTGCTCTGGAAGGGAGAGAGCTGGAGCAAAGGAACGAGCAGCAGCCCTTCGTGCTCCACCCTCCATAGGATGACGTTGGCGGTGGAGCAGGTGAGAAGGTGGAGGGAGGAGGAGGAGGAGGAGGAGGAGGAGGAGCGAGAGGAGGGCAGGAGGTTGTCGATGAACTCTAGCCCGCAGATCCTGCTGCTGTCTGCTCGCCAGGAGAACTTCTTCTGCATGAGATCGGTGAGGATGACAACGGTCCCGTCCTCGCACCCGAGAGCATACAGCATGCTGATGGCTCGCTGCACCATCGCGTTCCTCAGCACTTTCTTCTTCATGACGATGTTGACTTGCGAGAACAGCTGCGGCTGTTGCGCGTGCTCCTCCCTGACCGCGAAGCGATGGAAGGCTCCTGGTTCCATGTGCAGGTTCTGCTGCTGCCGCATCAGCTCCACGATGGCGGAGGCGTGGAAGGGCTTGAAGAGGAGGTGAATGTTGAAGAGGAGGAGCTGGTACTTCTTGCGCAGAGTCACGAGGAGAGAGGGGTGCAGCTCTAGCTCCCCCACGTTCAAGCTCTCATCCAGCTCCAGGAAGTCCCGCAGCAAGTCTTCCTGCAGCCCGGCGTCGATCTTTTCCTTGAGGAAGGAGGATGAGCACAGGGAGGATCGGAGACTGGACGCGTCGTCGTTGTCCTGCATTATCCTCCTCCTCCTCGCCAGCTGAATCTGCAGAGCTGGGAGCTCGGCGCACTTGTGGAAGGGAGAGATGCGATCATCGTCGCAGGACATGGAAGAGGAAGAGGAGGAGGACGAGGACGAGGAGGAGGGAGGGCGAGGGGAGGAGGAGGAGGAGAAGATGGAGATGAGGAGGAGGCATAGTTTCTCCTCGTTCTTGTCGAAGAAGTCAAGGCGTCTGATGGCATCGGCTATGGCGTTGCTTCTCAGCCGCATGACGCTTGTCTTGCCGTGAACTCGAAAGGTTGTGAAGTTCTTGACCTGGAGAAGGAAGGAAGGAAGAGGAGGAGAAGAGAGGAGAGATGATACGAAGCGAGCAGAGAAGAGCATGGAAGAGGAGGAGGAGGAGGAGGTGATGGTGGTGGTGGAGGAGGGGGAGGAGGAGGAGAGAGGGAAACAAGAAAAAATGTGAGTATAACATGAGTAGCAGGAAAGTACAATCATAACGAGGAGGAGGAAACAAGCTGCATAAGTATAAAGGTAGAAAACATGCGATGTCAACCTCAACAAGAGCAGAGAGAAGAAACAAGACAATCTATCATCATCATTTTCATCTTCATTGTCGTCGTCGTCGTCATCATCATCATCATTATCATCTTCATCATCTTTCAAACAGACACAATGATCGTCACCATGAGCATCGGCAGATCTAGCTTCATATCCTTGACCGTCTCCTCAACCCCCGGCATGTCCACCATGACGTCATACTGCATAGAAGCCAACCTCTCTGTTATCTCCTCAACCAGCTTCGTGTCTTCATCGCACAACATGGAAAACGCTCTTTTGACTACAACCTCCGACAGCCCATGGCGCGATATCGCCAGCATGCACAACCCGAGAAGGGCAAGACGCGGAACTGAATCCTCCCTCATAGTCAAGTTCCCATCCTCCCCGATGGAGAAGAGGTTGGGAATGTAGGCGAAAGTTGCTGATAGGCGCAAGACGTGTAGAGAAGGAACGTGCGAGAAGACGTTGAGCATGCTTCTCCTCTGCGCTGTCGACAGCTCCTGCCCTGTCCTCGTCGCCCAGAAAGTCATCCAGCGCTCCGCCGTCTCCTCCCCCACGTTCATCCAGAGCACGTTCTGTGCTGGGAACCGATCTTGCAGGTGGAGGTTCCACATGCTGCGGGAGCAGGTGAGGAGGACGCGAACGTTCTTGGGGAGAGTGCGAGGGAGCCAGAGGAAGGAGCGAAAGGGGTCAGAGGGCCGAAGATGCTCCAGTCCGTCAAAAATAATGACGATGGGACACTGATGGAGAGGTCAGTGGGAGGAGGAGGAGTAGGAGGATGATGAGGAGGAGGAGGATGATGAAGAGGATGATGTTTTAGTTTAGGAGGAGGAGGAACGAGTACCTACTGTTGAAG